GTGTGTGTGTGTGTGTGTGTGTGTGTGTGTGTGTGTGTGTGTGTGTGTGTGTGATGTAGGCGACTTGTGACTAGCTTGATTCAGTGAATTCAGCTGGAATGCAAACATTGCAGGAAACTGTGTGAATGACCTCCAAGTGTCTGAACACAATTAAGTGAGGTAATGTCCACTCACTGTTTGTACAAGATACAGTGGAGTTCCGGAAAGATTTATGAGAAATGTGTGTTTTTAGTTTCACTTACAGAAAAACAGCTGCAGAAAGAAGTTTTCGTTACAAACATGAATGTCACATAAATTTAGGGGCTTAAATATTTGATTGAAATCAGGGTTTTTTTTCAGGGTGAAATTATAATATACAACTTTTAAAAAAAAAAAAAAACAGCAACAGATGGGTGAGTAAGTTTGACTTTATTAAATATGTCAAAATTGCAAGAAAATCCAAAAATGGTGAATTTTCTGTTGAAGATTCAGAATTCTGAGCGTTTGTAATCTTATAACTAGCCAGCGTGACCAGTTTTTAAAAATCACATCGTATGTTCCTGTGCTTTGACATTTTACAAAAAAAAAAAAAAAAAAAAAAAAAAGGACAGGAAGATTTGTAGCAGTTGTTTTTAAAATATTTTATTGTAATTTTTGATCGACAGGGTTTTTAGACCTGAATGTTTGTTTCTGTGTCCTGGGATCTTTTTGTCTTTTTTTTTGCCAGGAAACTAGCATTAAAAAGCTAACTGATCAGAGTTTTTGAGATGTTCATGACAACTCTGCTATTAATTTGAGAGAAAATTGGTCACATAAATTGTTTTTGTTAGCTAGTTTTTTTTGTTAGCATTTAGAGTTCATTCAATTGTGTAGTTCTCTGGCACAAACTTGCTAGCATTGTCCACAAATTTTCTATGGAGTGGGCTTTGGGAAGGTCATTTCAGAATCTGAAACCAGTACCTGTGACTTCTGATGACTGTGTCTTGTAAACAACATTCATGAAGAAGAGCCAAAATGTCTTTGAACGTTTGTTGGACATCTTTATTTTCTTGGGAATCCCAAAGAAAATGGTTTATTGTCACCATCCATCCATCCATTTTCTTCCGCCTATCCGGGGACGGGTCGCGGGGGCAGCAGCTTCAGAAGGGAGGCCCAGACCTCCCTCTCCCCAGCCA